CCCCATATCTCACTTTCCTCTTCAAACGCTGGTTTCAAAGCTAATTTTATCATTCCTGATAAAAAGTGACAATTTATTAGACACAGGCTGTAAAACCCAGGCAGCTCTTACACAACAGCAGCTACAGGCTGTGCACTGCTGAGACATCACACACCTCACGCTTACATCCGGGCTGTCTGGTAACACTCATTAACACACACATAGGAGCCCTGCAGTTCACAATCAGACAGCCTGCTTGAAATTCAGATCATCACCTCCACGGTGATGCATTTTCTATGAGAAATTTGATAGGGGTACAGAAGTACTAAAACAAGTCAGCAGCACAAGTCGCACTCACTTTAATAAAATCTGAGTTTTGCTATTTTGCTAGATAAACTCTCATCATCTCAGTGGCAAAAGCTGGTAGGTACACTTTACTAACAGCCACATAACACTGTTAAGTCACTGTAAGAACGAGAGCCACAGCTTTTTGACAAGCTCTGACACTTCCCTGGTTTGCAGGCAGCCTTTGAAGTTCCCTGAACAGCACAGACGCTGTCTCACGGCAATCCATTCAAGCAAAACCGAACTGTTTTCCTATGGCTGCTTGCTTTTCTTAATTATTTGGCAGCCCCTGGACACAGAAGCCATGCATACCCACGCTTCGGGCAGAGCAGGAGCAAAAGGGGCCATGAAACACTGCAGGGCTGCTGAGGCAGACATACAAAGCAGCAGAGGGACAGGGAAACAAGTCAGATATCAGCTCTCATTTTCCTGGACAGAGCACCAGCTTCACCCACAAAATAACACCTTACCCAAGGAGGCAACTGCATGAATTACAGTCAATGCTGAGGACTGGAATCCCACTTGTGGTTCACCTTCTGTGGCTCACCTTAACATCCGTACAATATCCTTTTAGAAACATAAACAATACAAAGAGGTTCCATGTCAGAAACTAATTTGCAAGGCAGTTATTTTGGTTTGGAGTTCAACTCTGGAAAATTAGGAAGCATCATATTTAGAACAGCATATGACTTAAAAAGATGATTAATGCAAATGGAGGTTAACAGTTACGTTTGCATACTAATTTTCCTGCAAATCATTGGCTCATTCAGTGCACAGGATGGCTCACACAGGCAGAACTAAGCTTCTGCAACCCTCAGCCAGACATTTGCTGAATGACAGGTCTTAGGTTTAGCAATCCAAGTATCTGAACGTTTTAAAGTGTAGTTTTAATTCATGTTTAAGATACAGCTTTGAATAAAAAACTAAGCAGATGCATGTTGTTATCCTGCTTAGTTAAGTACCATTCAAACTCCCTTCTTGCTTTGGGTTCACAAGAGCCTGCCTTTCATCACTCACACAACGCCAGTGACTCGGACAGGATCACCTATACGTAATCAATAGTGACCATATAACAAAACATGGAATTAAACCCTAACACACAGCACTTGCCTTGCTAAAACCCAACTGCAGGCAATAGGTGGACTGAAGGAAACCTCCCACTGTCCCACTCAGCCTTAACCTCCATTGAAGACTTTGTTGGGCGAAAAAAAAAAAGACTTTAAGCTCACCACTGGGAGCCTCTGGAGCCAAAGTCACAGGACAAGTTATTCCACATGGTGCTCAACTAAGATTTATTGTGCTCCACTTGAAGCTGGAAGTTCACCAAGCACAATGATGTCCACCCCACTACACAACAATGAAACCCACTCTCTGTTTTCCAACCCTACAGAGCACAGATTCACTCCTCACGTTATTACACCCACTAGGACCACTGTCACCGAATCTAACAGTGTGCAAAATCCAGACAGGACCTGCAGGGACAAAAGGGAGGGAGGCCATGAGTTCTCCACGCATGATCCAGAAGCAAAGGCTCTGCAAATAGCACTGCGTTGACTCTTCGACAATAATACAAGACAAAAAAGACTCCAGCTCACTCTCTTACAGCAACAGTGGTTCTGCAGTGTCCATAAGAATGAAGTGCTGTCCGTTAAGGAACACCAGTGTCCAGCAGATGAGTTGAGTACTATGCAGACAGTACACATCATTTGTTATGTGTATAGAGAGTGCATGCAGATTAGTGTTACACTAAGTAACATGATTTAGTTCATTACTGTTCTATTGACGGGTAACGCAATAATCTAAATGAATACTGAATAAATTAGAGGTAAACTTCAATCTTACCATGGTCTCAGAGGGCAATCCATTTTCTCCCAGTCTAGAAGAAATCACATTAATTACAGTGAAACCACATTCCTGACCACGCTTGAAATCTCACTTCCAGCACAGAGCAATTGAAGCAGCAACCTGTGATGCAATACTGCTGCAGAGTCAGCAGCTGCAGCGTGCAGCCTGCCGGAGATGGAGCTGTCAGCAGGCTGCTGGCCAGCCCGACTGTGGAGCCCCTGCTGGACCCAGCCTAGGGCAGTGCACAGCAGCACCTGGAGCAAGCAGAGACAAAGCAGAAAGCCGCTTGTGGCTGCCACAGAGAACCTTCAGAACTCACACCCAACTGACCTTTGAGAACACAGCGATGGGGACAACAGTTACACTGTGCACTGTGCTCTGCATTTGCAGTCAGCCATGGTCTGGAAGCACTTCAGCTGAGCAGCAGCTTTTGTTGGCACTTGCACTGCAAGCTTACATAGCTCATGTCTTGATTTTCTTACTGACCTTCTTGTGAAACAGCTGGAGTCAAGGTCTTCCTCTCACCCACTGTTCCCAGTCTGCACTCAGAACTGAATGCACACTCCTGTGAGACATTCTCATTGTCTGCTCTTGTGCAGAGCGTGCTCACAGCATGCTGACAGCACCCAACTTTTCCCACAACTTAAACCTCTTCCCAGCCTCCCAAGAAAGAACACTCCTTATGCACAACAGGGGACAGCAACTTCCCACCTGGATAGGAAGCACCAGAACAGGGCTGCAGGAACCCCGCTTCGTTCCAAAGCATGCAGGAATGAGTGTGCACATACACCGCTTCAGGAACACGGGCTCCCTGCTTGCAGTGCCTCTTTGCTGATAGTGAACATTCCCTAGCAGCACTCAGGAAACACAGCACGTTGGGAGCAGCACACATATGCTTCTCATCCAGCACCCTCCACAAGTGAGAGGCACTCCTTCCCTTCTCTACTCACAGCACAGACCTCATTCACAGGATCGAGTCGTAGTTGTTTCCCCCCAAGAGGTAACAGCTGCAGAGCGTTAACCACAAATCCCTATTGCACAGCAGCATGCAGCCCAACACCTGTGGTACTCCTGACCAGCGTCAGCCCTTTTACAAACAGCCTGCACGGACCTGCCTGCAGGAGCCAACAGAGAACCGCTGGCTATCAGCACCCCACAGGAGCCCTAATGTTGCCCTAAATGCAATAACGCTTTGTAACACACCAAGGATGTGCGGGTCACTCACCTTGGTCTGGGCAGGACCGAAGCCTGCAAGGCACCACACCACCAGGCAGTGGCTGTTGAGCAGAGCCCGCAGCACAGCAGGTGCCCACACCGGGACCGTGAGGCTGCCCGCAGCTCTCTGCTGATTACCTGTACATACAGGCAGCTGTGTGCACACCGAGTTCTGCCCCTGCCGCTCCTTCCATAAGCAATCACTTACAGCTGTTACGGTGGATTCAGGTGCGTGCCTTACTTCACACACAACTTGTAGGTCAGCCTGCTGCAAGCACCAACCGAGAAACCCCTACAGGGGACACCCAACGAGCTCTCGTCCTGAACTCAGTGCGCAACAAACTCAAAGCCCACAAGTCCACTCGCTGTTCACACACAACCTTTCAGTGCCACGCCGTAGCAGGGCTCCCCGCAACTCTCCGCGCATAGCAGAAGCGGCCTACAGAGCTTGTAACGTGACAGTAGCGCTCAGCTCCGCAGCGCGGCGCGGATCTCGCCCAGCCCCGCACGACGGCGCCGCTGCGCGAACGGCGGAGCGCCTTCAGCCGTCCCGGGCCCCGAGCGGCACGACGGAACGCAGCGGCCCAGCCGCCCGCCCCGGGACAGCCCCGGTCACCCCGCCGCGGGAAGTTGGCGGGGGGCGGCGCCGCCTCCAAACTTTCCCCGCCGTGGAAATGCTCCAGGCGCGCCGTCTGCCCGCGCGGCCACTCCGCACGGAGCCGGCCGGCCCGCCAGCCCCGCGGGACCCACGGCGGCGGCCCCGTTGTGCCCGGCGTCGTGCACGGCCGCGTCCGAGCACGGCACGTACCTGCTACCTGCTACCTGCTGCCTGCCGCACCGCGCCGCACCGCATCACGTAGCTACGCTCCAGCGGGGGCTCGGCGCGCGCCTCGCGCGAGCGGCACCGCGAGGGGAGAGCGGAGGGGAACGCCGCGCGCGCTCACGCTCAGCCGCCCTTCCTCCCGGGTCGCCTTGGAAACGGCGCGCGGCGCGAAGAGGGGGAGGAGGAGGAGGCGGTTTAAAGGGGGCGCGCGCGCGTGCTCGCCACGTGTCACGTGGGCGCCGCCGAACCAATGGGCGACGGCGGACGGCGGGAGCCGTAGTACTACGGCCCGGGGAAGGTGAGGCGCGAGAGCGCGGGGCGGGGCGGCGGTAGCTCCCTCCCCTCAGGGGCGGTGGCCCCGCCCCCTCCGCTGGGTCCCCGCGGGGCGGGAGGCGCTGCGCGGTCGCTGTCCGCGGGCAGGTGAGGCCGGCGGGACGGCAGGCTGCGCTGCGGGCCCAGGCTGAGGGGCTGCCAGGGTTGGGCTGGGCTGGGTTCTGTCAGGGCGGCCGCCGCGCCGGGGCTTGGAATACTTGGCTGTTAACATTCCGCCTGTGGTTTTGTTTTGTTCCGTCTTTATAGACAGCGGCATTACATAACCGCGTACAGAGAGCAGCCGCGGGATTACATGATGCAGATTAGCGGCGGCGTCGATTCAGCGGATCGCCCTGCGTGTGTGTGAGGGGCGGCACGGCCGTGCGGGTAAGCGGGGCTGCGCGCAGGGCAGGCAGCTCGGCGTTATACGTAGTGAGCTGCAGGCAACCACCGCGGGATGCGTCCCACAAAGCTGCCTTACCTCCGCCTCAGGTTCTTACGGCTCCTTTGTGTCCTCGCGAGGAGGTTTTGGACGATAAGCTTGGCTGTAAACGTGCTGTCACGTTTCCTTGCTGAGATCCTGGTTTGCTGCAGGTGGCTGGGTTCTCTTCTGATCCCTGACCGCTGTGCTGACATCAGTTACGGCCCTCGTGTAATCAGGGTAACTAGAAGTTGCCACCTAAATAAGAAAATAAACTCTTTTTAGCGGGACTTAGAGGTAGCTCTTGGAGGAAATAAGAGCTGCGGGTTACTCACTGCCTTGGGAAATATCAAGGACACATCTTAGAATGTAAGCCAGGAGCCTACTAGCAGATTGACACAATTCCCAACATTTCTCCCTTTTTTCTTTCCAGTACTCAAATATTTCAGCTTGGACTGAGTGATATTTTACTTTCTTTTCCCCCCTTAAAAAGATACATAATGCAGTAAAATCCTATTCGGCAAGATATACCTTAATATAAATGAAGGGACAGTGTATGTGTGAAATGGTCATTTGACTGAAATGATCTTAATTTGGGGGGAGAGTTTCACTAGAAATTAACTTTAAGAATGCTTGGATAACAAAGAGCCATAAAGCACAATCCAGATCCTTGTTCAGTGTGGCTTTTTTTTTAATCTCTCTATGCTCCTCAAGATTTCCAGCTACCATCTGCTGGGGATGCCAACCCATGAATACTTAGAATAGTTAACCATTAAAAGTACACAAACGTAAGTGATAACTACAGCTCACTGTTCTCAGTATATGGGGAGCAAAGCGCACAGGTTCACTTAAAGACAAATTCAATGACTTCCAAAGGCTTTTCCCAGCCATGTATTAGCACATAGTTTTGCCAGCCCTGAACCTACTACAGTTTTGTGTCTGAGTCCTCAGTCTGCCCAGAAATCCAGTAGCAGTTCCCAACAAGAAAAAAAACTGTAGTCCTTTCCCCCAGTGTTTCATTGCCCAAGAAGCAACGAAGTGCATCTTTTTTTTTTTTTTTTTTTTTTTTTTTTTTTTCCCCACTTTAATCTGTGCTTCACTTTAATCTGTGATTTCTCTGCAGTAGAATTGTAACCTGGTATTTCTGTCACTTCTGCAGCATTCAGCAGGGATTACACGTTTGCTGAGTTACTCCTTCACAGGCACAGTTCAGCAAAGTACGTACACATGCTTTAACTTAGTGATTTACAGGGGACCAGGATGTTGTTAATTCTGAACACAATTTAAATCCTTTCCTAAACTGTAGCCCTCAGTAACAGAATCAGATTATGAACATAAAGATGAACAGGGCTTTGAGGTAATTGAAGAGGCTAAAACAGTATCGATATTTATCTCTGTGGGCATTGGTGACCTAACCTTAATGTATAAACAGTAATCTTTCAAGCAATACATTGTTACTGTCACTGTTCACACCAGTTTAGATAACAAAGAAGTAGGAAAAAAGATAGAATTGACCTGAATGATTTTCCATGATTTAAACTGGTACAAAGCAGAACAGACTGTATTAAACTTTAGATTAAAATACTCTAATTTGGTACACAAAGTAATCTTTCAAAAAGCTCCCAAGGTGCATGCAAGATAAACTTTTAAACATGCAGAGTCTTGCATTCCTAGTTTCTGTGTGCATAAGATATAGTTGTGTCTCAAAAGAAGACTTTGAGTTGGGAAGCTGTTGAGTAGATGAACAAATGATCTCTTAGTTGCACATACTAGCTCATGGCACAGATATAAACAAGTTAGAATCAGGTTTAGCAACAACTTCTGCTATAACAATTTGTTTACCTTGTATAGCAATAGATCAGTGTATTTTTCTAACGAGGTGGAGAGCCTGGTTTGTTCTGATTAGGACTCTGATACTTCAACTCTGGTAAAACTGAAACAAGCAATGAAGAGAAAAACATTTACCTGTAAATGCATGACTGCCTAATGATTTACTTTAGAGTCTTAAAAAAACAACAAAGCACCACAACTATGAGTACTGTCAGCAGCATCTCTCTTAGAAGTGATCTTAAACCTGAAGCTACAATACTTTATTAGAGCTTAAACACAAAATAGAAATGTATGTCCACACGTACATCACCTTGGATTGTTCAGGTGATGCACAGACTTGTGTGCTTATGTTGTAAGTACAGAAAACACAAAATTTGAGATGGGCTTCTACAGAGAGTTTCCTTTGTAGCACTGGAAACTGAAGTTATTTCTGGTAAAATTGGGATTTTATTGCTTTTAACCATTTAGTGGGAATAAATCATTTAATTGAGAGAGAACTTCCAGGTTCAAGGAGAATAAATACTACATCTTTAAATGAGAGAGTAATAAGGATTATTTTACTGCTAGTAAAATAATAGTATACTACTGCTACTACTCTTAGCATTTCTTCCAGTACAAGACAATTTGTCTGATTATTTTATTTTCACTTTAACATATAATTAGGGGGAAAAAAAGAAAAAAAAAAAACATTGAAAAGTAAGAACTTCCACATGAGGCTTGTTTAGTAACTTACTTGGTATGGTAAACCTTGAGCATGCCTTCAAAGAAAACAATATAGCAGTAGATGCTTGTAGTTGGCAGAATGGTTGATTTTTAGCAGTGTGAAGATTGGCTTCAGTGCAGACTGACAGCTTCTATTCCATATTTTATAAATGATTGTCCACTTTTAAATCCAATACTTTTAGGTATGTAAGCATGCTTTGGTGTGAATTTGTTTTCACTCTGTGGCCTTGCCCTTAGAAGTTAACAGTATGCTTGAATGCTTGCCATTAAGTTTGAGCTAATGGAATTTACATGTAATACTGCTGTCAAAGTACAACAAATGTCGTAGCAGCAGCACTGCAAGATGCATTCCAGTAGCTGCTTCCTCAGGGGAAAAGGTCACTGGGATGAATAATGACATGCTGCATTTACACGTTTCTCTTTAGGTGCCGTTTAGAAGAATAGCTTCTGCCCAAGAATTAGAATTGTTGGAATAATATGCGAACAGGTAATTTCTTCCAGCTCCTTACTTGCATATATATATAATGAGAATTCATTAAATTTGCATTGATTTTGACAGCTGCCCTTGGGATCATCATAAGTGCTGCATGGCAATGTCTTCGCTTACAACACGTCAGTGGAACAAATGCTCAAAGTTTGCTTTGTTCAGTCCTGGTATTTAATGGGTTGTGATCAATAAGCATAAGGTCCTCACTTACAAGTGAGGAAAATTGCTATAGCAATTCTTGGTCAACATTTCCCCCCATTTCCCCTTTTGTTTTAGCAAACTTCAGGCCTGGGCAGTCCATAGACTTTTGTCCTCCGGGCCAGGCACTATACTTGAGTCAGCATGTGGATTATCAAGGCTAATTTGGTTCTCTGAGGGTTAAGGTGGTGTTGAGCCTTTGTTTGCTTTTCTTTCTAATAGATAGGATGGTCAAGTTAATTAAAAAAAATCAAATGGGAATAGACAAGATAGTTTAGTGACAAGTGTTCATGAATGTCCTTGAAAAGATAAGTTGTGTATCAGTGTATTTAGAGGCTGCTGTTACCTCTGCCAGTTTTAAATAATCAGTTTAGTTTTATAAGGAAGAATCTTGTTTCATTCTTCTCCATCCCCCCTTTCAGCAAAAACAGACATCAAATAAAAAACCAAAACTTTTGTGTCTTACTTCTCTTCAATCTCTCACGTAGAAGGATATATCAGAATGCAGATAAACACTGTGTAGAACGTATGTTGATAGCATTTCTGCAATCATATTAATTGGGCAATTAAAAATGCAAAAGATTTAACTTCTCATCAGCACTTGACTTGTTAAACTTCTCTATCTTGATAATACCAGTCTGAATGTAGCATGCATTTGACTTTCAAAATGTACGATAAGCATTTTCACATGACAAATTGTAACATATTCCCCCATTGTTATTGTAATTGAGTTTTTCCTTGCACTTAACCTCCTCTGATTCTCTGTTATATTCTTCTGCATCATTGACTATAAGTTCAAAGGTTAAACTGTTACTTTCATGCACTCCTGCCCACAAATACAAAGCTACAGCTATCAAATTTGACCCAAACTGCAGTATTTTGGTGCAGTGGGTACCGAATACAAGAATACACCTTTTAGAATAGTAGCAAAATCCTCTACTAGTAGAAACCAATTTGTATTTATTTATTTACTGTTGGGAGTATCCTGAATTTTCTTTTCTTTTCTTTTCCTTCATAATTGTGTGGTCTACTTAATACTGTTTTACTTGACTACTTAAGTAGTAGAAAAGGATTCATGTGTAATATGGTATTAATGAAAAGCACACTTACTTGTAAAACGGGGCACCTGGCCTCCATGGATGTGAGTGCTTGGTAGAATTAAGGTTACAATTTTCCCCTTAGCATTAGAATGAAGCATAGCTCTAGAAAGAAACAGCCTGTAGAGGAATTGTCTGTAATTGCATTCGAAAAGGTTTTGAAGGCCTCCTAGGCACTTCTTGTTCTCTCTCGCTTGCTTTTTATAAGACTACCTGAGGTGTTTTTCCAGAACAAAAATGCCCAGTTGGATCCCCAGTACATGGATCACACTGTAACAGTGAGAAGATCTTTTTCCTAAATACTCTGAATCCTGAATGACTGAGGCATCTAATTTATTTCAGTGCTCCACTGCTACGCCAGTTTGAGACAGTCAGACAGGCCTCTGTCTGCATAAAGAAAAAGCATACAACTGTAAAGCAGGTTTATAAGGCAGTCAATATGTTCCCATTAATTCTCACAAGAATTCCTTTGAAGGCTTTTCCTGAGCTGTCTGAAATCCTTTTTCTGTGGGGCTCACCCTGTCTCACATTTCCAACTGGTAGAATCTCAACACTTGACTCCCTCAGACACTAACTGGAGCTGAGGCCAGGTCTAGACTGAGAGTTTTGCCTTTTCTCACTTGGTGCTTGTATCTTGATGCAGTGCTCATGTATTCAGTATTCTCTCTTTTCATTTTAGGAAGAGTGTGGCCTTCAATTCAATTGCACTGCCACAGAAGTTTCACTGTTATGTTTGAGTAGACTGAAATGAAACAATTTGTAGTTCATGTTTTCTGTTGCCATTTTGCACTCAGTTACCCATGCAAAATAACTCTAAATGTCTTTCCATGGTGAACTTGCAGTAAATTATTTGCCAATAGACAAGCACAGAAAGCCTCAGAGTTAAAATAAATTTCCATTTCCCTCCTAATGACATGAGGTGGAGCACATGTTTCTGTTATATCACATCCTGCACCAGTGCAATAAGGTCAAACACAAATAATCTTTCCAGGCTTACGTCTCTCCTCCAGGTCTCTAATTTATCTGCACACGTGCCAAAAGGTCCAGTTACCATTTGGATGGTAGCACTTGGATAGCATGAACATGAAACTTCAACCCTGCTGATCTCTGTGCTATAACTGCCTTGGTCTTAAAATGATATATGGACTCCATTCACACTCCCATGACCAGATGACATTGCTCAGATGGAAAAATATAAGAAAAGATGGGGAGAGTGGAATTACTGAAGATGGTCCAGTGCATGCCAGGGTGCATAGTGTGATTGCTGCACAGCATAAGGAGTGGCTAACATTTTCCAGTACTCCTAGAAAAGCCAGATTTATTCCACACACAAAGTTTTACTGCCCTCTCAGGCAGAATGCCTTTGACCACACTTTCTCGCTTTTGCCTGCAGGAACAAAGGGGAACCACAACTCTACTTGTTTCCTGAAAAACAAATGAAAGTTTTGATTCCTTGTAAACAATGCCATATTGTGTAGAGAGCAGGTCTTCTATACCTAAGTAGTGAGACAGCAAATTCTGATTTTCACAACTTCTGGGAGAAACAGCAGCACAAACAACACCTAAGGTGTGAGGTAACACACTTCTCAGGCTTGCGATGCCAGAAGGCTGTTCTATTTTTCTTTTGATCAAGACATTGTAGTTTCATTTGCTAGGTGCTCGATTAGTTGTTAAAACTGGTGGTGTCCAGCTGCTATAATTCAGTACCCAATGCACCTGAACCACAGCTGGAAGTATTCTGGGATTATCTGTACTGACTCTTTCTCTCTCACAGAAGCTAGTTAAGCTCAAAATGGTTTATGCTACTAGAGCAGGACAAACTGGTTTCCATGTCATGTGTATCTTTTAACTGTGTATGGGTGATGGTCAGGAAAGGCAATGGAGAATCAAAAGCTCCTCTCTGGGCACAAGAAAGTTCCTGCATTTATTCATAATGGTGACAGTTTTGCAACTTTTTTTATATAGTCACAGTTACATAAAACAATTCTGCAAGATAAATGGTGCTCTACACTGATGGCCTGAGAGGCAAGACTGAGTCTATATTTGTTCTTAGTGTGTTTTTTTTTTTGCCCTGGTTTGTTTTTCTTAAAATGAAGCTGCACTACAACTCGTCCCTGAAACACACACACACGTGTATTTTATATATATACATATATATATTATTTTTTTAAAAGTGTAATTATTAATGAAAATACAGAAATCTCAATTTTTCACTCTTTGTTTTGGTCTTATTTTTAAGATCATGAAGAACTCTGTGGCACCAGTTATGGATCTTTTTGTCTAAATGGAGGCATTTGCTATATGATTCCTACTGTACCCAGTCCATTCTGCAGGTCAGTGAAACTACAATTTGTGTGTTTAAATACTGGACAGTAGCTGTCTCAAAACTGTTTCTCCATTTTGCTGCTTTAAGAATGCACTGTTAAACCACTGAATGAAAGATAATAACTGTTACTGATGGCTGTCTGAAACTCAGTAGTTCACACTCACGTAACTTACCAAGCCCACAGAGATGACTGAGGAAAACCAAATGAATATACCTGGGGTATATTTGTTTGATGGATGCAACAGCACTCAGTTATGTATGCTTTCAGGATGACTTCTCTATTAAAGCCACGTTTCCTCCCCTCATTACAATACAGAAGGGAGCAAAACACCCTTTTCTGAATGGAGAATAAAGTCAAGGTATTTGGAGTGGCAAAGTACCTTCCCAGTTTTTCTTCCAGGTGAATTATACTGCAAAAATTCTGATCATGCCAAAATGGCCTGACATGAAGAAAAATGGGAGGCACAAAAAAGAATATTATTTTTTAAGGCAAAAAACCCCCATGAATACAAGCCAAGCCTTACCATGTTCTCCTGAATCACAAGGAGATGCTCAAAGGACATATTTGCAGCAACAGCCAAAGACCACTTGGTGAAGAAGCATCTAGGCAAATGTAAAACAAAGTAAATATAGATATCTGTTAGTTTATTGGGCCATTCTTCCCTTTAGAGTCCATCTCCTGCTTTTGCATTCGTTGACTGCAGTCCTGCTTTTGGATTCCCTGTGTAAATACAGACCTATCCTTTTATTTTCTTTTTCACCAATATATAAAATGATGCCGTATTAAAATTTAATTGTCATGGTTCAGCATTTACTAATTCTGAATTATTGTTCATAGAGATAAATTATGGTTAATTTCATATATATTTACATAACATAACAGACATTCAGACACCTACTGCCTATAGTTGTGGATGCCACCTCCCTGTGGCAGCTTCTGCTCCCTCTTCAGTCTTGAGTTATAAGTAACAGTAATCGGGTGAAACTCAAGAAGGAAACAAAATGTTTTCTAACGTGCCTAATTCAAGAATTTCTTCTGTTTGGTGGGGGACAGTTCAATCTAAACAAGCAAGCTCAGGCATGCAAGCTCACCTGGTAGACGAGGAGAGAAAAGGAATTCTGTAGTAAATGCTAATTAAAACACAAGCACAGCATATCACTGCCATGTCTCCTGTCCAGTGTCATACAATGAATCCAATCCAGAAACAAGGATAAAGCACAAGAGTGATGTAATTATAGCTGATAAGCCTCACCAACTTCTGTGATGTAAAACACATACTGCATGCATACACAAAGTAAAACATGCCTTTCGGGTACCTTGATTGATGCGTGCTTTTTCCTGGAAGGAATCCCTTATTATTGATATTTAAATGCTTATGTGCAAAGAAAGTAGGCTGAACAGCATTAGTTATATGGTTTCAAAGCACTCAGTCTTGGCTGTTGGTGGACTGCATAATAAGGAAGGCATATTTGATGAAGTAACCGTAGATAAGACGTAACAAATAGTCAGAAGTCATTCTTCAGGAGTGCAAGCACAAGGAGCTTCAGCATAGATAACTTCCACTTTAAAAAAGCTCCAAATGAAGTCATTTGTAATTCACGTGCTACATTTTGTAATCTGCTGAAGCAGAAAAGTACCATCTTAAGAACATTTCTATTACACTCAGGCAATCTTACTGCATTTAAATTATCAAGTATTTTTCCTCTGTACCTACTGGTTGATTATGAAGTTATAAGGGTTTAAATAGAAGCATTCTATTTAAGCATGTCCTCATTCTAAGCATGTCCCTTAATCAGTTAGAGAAAGCTAATTATAGATGAGAAAGGTTTTGTTTACACACAGATATCTTAGTAATCAGCAGTGATGTGAATAGAAACGACAGAAAAAAACGCATCGCTACTCAGCAGAATTCAGAAAAATATTCTGCACCCTGGAATTTCAGGACTGTCAGCATCACAGAACCACAGCATCGCACAGTTGCTCCGAGTTTCTCTGATACAGATTTCTTGCAGAGCCCGCTGACAGTTCCAGGTGTTCTCAGTTGATCTCTCCCACCAACACAAAAACAGCAGCAGCTTTTTGATTCAGACTGCTTCGTGGTTAGCACAGTGTTGATTAAAAGAGCCAAATGGAATAAGAAAGGACCAGTAAACTGTCAAAATACCTTAAAACACATTTGCCTTGGCAAGTTGTTCATCTAGACAAATGCATTGAGCTAAACATAGTCCAGCTTACCTGACGTGATGTCACTGGAAGTGATTTGACAACATAAATGGGAAAACTGCATCGTTCTTTAGAAAGACGTTTCCTTGCATCCTAGCAAATTAAGAGACACTGTTCACTTTTGGATATTTCAGTTCTTTATGCTGAAATATCCATTCGGAATTAGATATATATACATTGTAGAGATGTCATATAAATAAAACAGTAGTTGACCTTCTTTTCCTCCCACAGCACAACACTGCAGATTTTAAATACAGCTGATTATGTTAAAACATGAGCTTGCTCAGCTGCCATCTTCCTTTGTTCCTTTTCTAACAGAGTTAATGACCTCAGCATCAAAAGGCACATCTGTCACCATATGCAAGATAAGCTTCAAACCTGGGAATGCTCAGCCATACTAAATAAACAAACACACAGCAGAACAGAGAAGGCTGTGAAAGCAGATGCCTCAGGTGTATCACAAAATGCTGGGCTGAAAGATGTTTGCCTCAGCACCTGATGTGCAGCTGTCCCATCATCATTAATTAAAGCTGTGCAGAATTAAGATTTCATTGTGAGGTGAAGTTCTGCTGTTTCCATGTTGTCTTACACAGGACATCCCTGAGAACTTCTTTCTCATTTCAGAGAAGATACAGGTTGTTGTTGCTGGTTTGTTTGTTTGTTTCCCCCCCCAACTCAACATTTTCAGAGCAGAACACACAGTTAATGTATCCTTTAGGATGTATGACTTTACAAGCCATCAGGATCTTTCTGTACACTTCATCCTTGTGTGGTTCTTCCTTAAGTGGGACCTTCGTCCACTGTTGAATGTCCCCACATGTGATATACGTGCTGTGCCACCAATCCTCAGAATTTACACCTTGCTGAAGAACTACTGGGCTTTGCTTCTTTCCCTGCCTTCAAAACCATGCTTCTGCATTTTGAAAACAACTGTTTTGAAAAAACTGTCCTGTCAGTATTTTCCAAGTTTGCTTTTTGCTTGCAAGCTACAAACAGAAGTTAGAATACACACCAAACATATAACCAAAAAGTTAATTATTACATTTTTAATGAGACATAAAAATAGAAATTCCTACATTATCTCATGAGCTTGAGACGTATTAGTGATAAGGCTCACCAGATATCATGCAAAGCACATCACATATGGCATGCTAAGGGAAAATAATCAATTCTTTCCACTTATTTCCAGTGGTAGCATGAGATTTATTTAGTCTCTATGGATACGAATGCAGCTTCGAAATAGCAGTTTGGAAAATCCTGTGGATACAGAATTTTTTTTTTAAAGCCATTTAAAAACTTCCAGGTAACTTTGCCATTGCCCACTGACCCAGGCTTTGAAGTCTTTTTCATATTTACTAGATGCCCTTGTAGTGTATGAATTAGTTAAAGAGTTCTACAGACCAAAGATTACAGTGATTTTGAAGCTGTCAGCTGCACAACTTTGATTACATTGGCACACAGCTCATTTTTCAGATATCTTTTACTACTTAGAGCTTTTTGTACATGCAAGCAATTTTTCTATCAGGTAACACGCAGTTTTTTCCTCACTAAAAGAAGACTAAAGGAAAATTAAAATCAACACTCGTTGCATAATAATAAGCAATGAGAAGTCTGTGAGTGCATCGGAATCAAATCTTACTTCCAATGTTTAATCTGTCAGATATTGCTTGTGCTACCCACCTTAGAGTCTGGAAGGGAAGGAAACCCTGCCTTCTCACTTAAAACAGGCAGCCAGTGTGTCTGCAAATTAGACTGCAGTAATGCCTTGTGTTACTGGAAACTGCTGTGCTTATTTTCTTATTGATGCTTTCTGATCCGATCTCTAACTGTAATTTAGACCCGCTAGTCATGTCCTGTCATCTAATTCAATGCAATCTATTTCCTTCCACCCTTTATTGACGCTGGCTGTGGGTAGTTCTGACTGGAGTATTTTGTCAGTGTTTCGTCTCCAGCACAGCTGCTATATTGAGTTCATATATAAGAGCTGCTCATCTGATCTGACGAGAGGTGCAGGCGCGTACGTGGGTGTGTGTTGGCATCAAGGAAAGCAGAAGCCTGGATGCTCTCTGAAAGAGGAGTGTCTAGTCTCCACTGTTCTCAAACATCTGAGGGCTGCTGTCTTTCAAATCTGACTGCATTACAAATTTTCATTTCTTAGAGAAGAGTTTTTTTTCCCCATTTAAAACAAATCAACTTTGGAATGCTACGCAGGACCATTTAGAGCCAACAGACAAATGTTGTTGTGCAACAGAAACACCCAGCCAGGTGACCACAAGTAATTGTTATAACCTCCTCACGTTGTGTATAGCCCAGAAGCAGGCTTCTGTGTCTTTTGTACTCGTTCATTAAGCACCTGCCATATTTAACAACTCTAAATACGTCACGCTTTACTTTTGGTCTGTTTTTAGGCATCCATTATAAACAAGGTCAACCTGGAGCTGTTACTGACTTTTGAAGTTGTGTCTATTAAACCTGACTGCTTCTAAAAGACACTATATAGATACTCATGAGCCCAGATTTTGTTCCTAAACCACATGCTTGTTAGAGGCTACTTTTCTGTCTTGTTTGCAGCCACTGAGTGTGCTCCATTGCACACTGCCAAGCAGATACTATTGATTTGCCAAGACAAGTGAAATGTTTCTAAAATTTGCATCCAGGAAGAATTAATACAGTTAGCATCCAGGATATTTAAGTTTTGTACCTGCTTTTCTTTAGTGTAGATATTTTACCCTTTGCTATAATGTTTCTCCTTAGAATTCTAGGCCTCGTGACTCTTTTCCTCTTGAAGACTTAGGGCTGCCTTAAAGATCTGGTTCTGCCTTCTATTTAGGAGAAAGTTGCCACAGTCTCAATGACCTTTTTGTAACTCTGCCATTGCATTCCTTTTTTTCCTTTTCCCCATGTTTATCTTTAAGCAGAGCATGAATATGGTTTCCATGGGTGATTTATGCCAGCTCCGTCTACTAATCTCAACAGTTCTCCAACCCTGTGATTTTAACCTAATCCTATCTATGCAACTTCCTTTGCCTAGAAGGACCAACTTTATTTCCTCCTGCTTCATTTTTCCTTGGGACCACTGACTTTGCTCCCTTTACACACATTCTCTAGAATTTTTCCATAAGCCTCAGTTTACACCAAAGCCTATTTATTTGCTCTCCATGTATCATTTTAGCCTAGCATTATCTGACAGTTTTCACTGGTATTCAAGAATGCTGCTATGAATATTATATTCCCTTCTCTATTCCTGTTATTTTATTCAGTTCTACAAAGCATTTCTCTCTCACTTGCTACAGAACAATGCCCTGCTCAAGCTGCATTTCTATTCTTCAGTTACGCTACAGATTCTCAGGAAAAGGCTCCTGAAATGCTGCTATACTTA